GGTAAAGCGTGGTCCTCTCTCGATGACCCTTACCCCTGCCTAGTGCCAGGCAGGGAAGGGAAGAGGAAAGAAGCAATGGGGGAGGTGACTCTGGTGGCATGGTCAAGGCGCGTGGACAGTGGAGCCAGACAGCCTGGCTTTAAATTCCAGCATTCCGTCTACTAACTGTGTGACCAAGGGCAGGCTATGTTACCTTAGTTTCTTTATCTCTAAAATAGGGGTACTGATAGAACCCCTAGGGATGTTGTCAGGATTCATTGATTAATGTTTGTGAAGTGCTTAGAACAAGGCTCGGTATAGAGTAAGTACTCAATATCTTTTTATTATTATTAATCCAAGAAGGGAGGGAAAAGCCTTTCGGGCAGAAGGAATAGCATATGCAAAGACCCTACAAGTGTGAAGGCTGAAGGCAGACAGACCTGGGGCGGGGGTACAGAGAGTCTGGGGGACCTGGGGGCAGGGCGGTGTGAGCTGGAGTTGGAGGCAGTGTTAGGAGCTTGGCTGTTGTCTCAGAGAAATGGGTAGCTTTAATCCGGGAGGGTAACTCGACCAGACTGGCTTTTAGAAAAGTTGACTTTAGCCAAAGGGAGGCAGGCAGGCAGGCGATTTAGTAGGAGGCTTTTTATTTTTCTCTCATTAAAAGCATCTTTGAAAAGATACTGAACAGACTTATAATAGAGCATTTCTTTACAATAGTAAATGACTGCTTGCCCCAGTCTTTCAAAGAATGTGGTGAAAAACACATAACATAAAATGTCCCGTTTTATCCATTTTAAAGTGAACAGTTCAGTAGTGTTAAATACATTCACAATGTTGTGCAGCTGAACTCCAGAATGTTTTCATCTTGTGAAACCGAGACTGTTCCAATTAAGCAATAACTCCCCACTTCTCTGCAGCCTCTGGGAGCCACCATTCTACGTTCTGTGTCTATGAGTTTGACTACACCAGATACCGCACAGAAGTGGAATTCTACAGTAGTTGCCTTTTTGTGACTGGCTTATTGCACTGGGCATAATGTCCTCAAGGTTCATCCATGATGTAGCAGGTGTCAGGACATCTTGGGACCTGGGACCTCCAAGTCCACAGGCTGATGCTCTGTCCACTGAGCCAAACTGGTCATGGCATGGACACATTATTTTTAAAAATATATATTTTTATTGATTTTAGACATCTAGGTGGCTTTTGCTGGAGCCTGAGTGAGAGCTGATGGGGGCCTTGGACTAGGTCTTGGCAATGGAGAAGGGGGGAAGTAGATGGGACCAGGGGGGCTGGGGGGAGGTAGAGTCACAGGATTTGCGGAAGATGGGAAGGTGGCGAGGTTGAGTGGGGCAGGGCCTTCAGAAGGGACCGTGGACAAGCCAGTGGCGCTCAGACCTGGGAACTCTTTGGAGGGTGGGAGAGGGGAGGTGACTCAGGGGCTGAGCTGGGAGCAGAGGAAGCTGAGAACCTCTTCTCTGTCCTCAGCGCAGAGCCCTGTGGAGACCAGAGGGGGCACAAGGAGCAGGCAGCCACCTTTGTCTCCCTTGCCTCCTTGTTTATATTTTCCTACAGAGCGCAGACCTGGGTCCACCAGAACGTGGGTCTGTATGGCATCCCAGATGAAAGGTGGGGGGGGGGGGGGGCGGGGGGGGGAGGCAGCTAAGAGCTCTGCAGTCTGTCCCCATTCAGATACCAGGGGCTGGGCACCGCAGGGGTCCACCCTTCTGTCTCTTTCATCCTCCTCGGAATTGTAAAGGGCCTCCCCCCAGACCCCCATCCCTGTTCCTATCTCCCTGAGGAGGTGGGCGATTCTCCCCTCTGAGGGCGAGACCAGGGCGGGAAGAATTTTGACCCCTGCCCTCGCCAGCTGTGAGGCAAGTCACTTCCTCAGGGATATGCTCAGTGAGTTCGTGTTGAAAGTCTACGGAAAGCCCCACGCTCAGAGGAGCGAAGGTGTGAGTGGGTGTGGTGGTGGCTCATGGAACAGGGTGGGCTGTTCTACAAGGTTTGGCACCAGGGTGGCAGGGGTGGGAGTGCAGTCTGGGATAGAGAAGAGGAGACTTTCTGGAACTGTGTCTTGGAAGATCTTTATCATTTTGGAGGAAAGGTCAGGGAATGGAGGCAGACCAGGGAACCCCAGGCAGGGGGAGCACGTGAAACCACGCATGCCTTCAGCTTGCCAGCAGGGATGGCTGAGAGCCCAGCAGGGTCCCGCTGTGATGACCGGGATTTTGGCTTTCATCTCTCTCTGGCTGTGGAAGGGGTGATGGTGGTCAACAGGAGAGAATGGGAAACAAGTTTCACATAGCACTAACTAGATACCCAATGCCGTTATAGGAGCCATCCAAGTATTAATGGTGGAAGTCACAGCAACCCTGTGCAGTAGTCGCCGTCACCAGGCCAGATGGGAAAACAGGGGATAGGATTTGAACCTGGCAGCCTGGCTCCAGACTCAGCTTTCAACCACTGGGTTAGGCTGCGGCTCCCGGCCGGCTCCGAGCGGACGTGTTAGCACAGGGCTGGCGAGGATTAAGGAGGGACAATGGCCAGGAGTTGGCCTCAGGTGGGATGTGGGCCCAGGGTGACGATGGAGCCGTGGCAGGCGCTTAGAGGCCCTGGGACCACTCCCTGAGCTGTGGAACCAGGAGGAAAGAGGGCCCTGGAGGCTTCAGTCTTGCTACCTGTAAAATGGGTTCAGGAACCTGCCTCAGTGGCAGAGAGGGCTGGAGTGAAGGTGCTTTGTGTATCGAAGTTGCTCTGTCAATGGAGCCTGCCCTTGCCACCTCCCCTCTGCTCCTGCCACTGTCACACACATGCCCAGTGTCCCCTCTGGCCCCTTTCTGGCTGCCTCTCGGGGCACCCTGCCCTCTGAGATGTCTTTCTTTGGTGTTTCCTCATGAAGCCAGAGGTGGCTTTGAAGCCCTCTCGGGGAGAGAGAGAGAGCGAGAGCGAGAGCGAGAGAGAGAGAGAGAGAGGTAAAAGCAGTTCAAGGATTGTAGGTTGAAAGAATTTGGAAATGCAGATGGGCTGCATGAGGACTTTTAATTTTTGTTCAGAACATCTGAGTGCCTCTGTGGGCCTCCCACCTCACAGAGCAGCGCCCCCCCCGTCACAGAGAGGAGGTGAGAGCGGTGGTGGTGGTGGGGGCTGCTGTGAGTGTGGGGCAGGCAAGGTGACCACCCTCCAGCCCCACCCCTGCCATGCCACCAAAATAGAAGGGTTGAGGCGTCGGCCCTGGGAGGGGCTGCGGGGAAGCCTTTGAAGCAGGAGGGCAGGCTGAGTGTGTTAATATTCACCCTGCCGCAGCTGTTGCCCTGGGTTTTCTGTTTCCATGGCAGGCAGAGGCATCACCAGTCTCGCTCAGACACTCCAGGGCCAGGGAGGCAGGGCCTGGGCTTGGCTCAGAAATCGCTGGGTGCCACTGGGCAGCTCCCCCACCGCTCTGGGCCTCGGTTGTCCCATCTGTGGCATGGGTGACTGTGACTAGGTCGCCTCCCCGGCTCCTTCCTGCTGCAGCGTTTAGGATTCGCATCCTTGACAACTTGGCCACCTACCCCTGCCTCTGCACACACCCCTCCTATCCTCTGGGTGGCGCTCAGGCCTGGCCAGCCCAGGAAATGTGCTCTCTGATTTCCCTCTCTTTCCACCTTGCCAGTGAAGGAGAAGGTTGAGGTGGGGTTGCAGAGTTGGGGAAACCAGAGGAGGTGCAATTTTTTTTTAAAATATGGTTTTTTTTAGTTGATTCCAGAGAAGGAGGAAGGGAGAGGGAGAAACATTGATGTGAGAGAGAAACATCCATCCGTTGCCTCCCCTACACACCCTGGACCAGGACCAAACCCGAAACCTGGACGTGTGCCCTGACCGGAATCAAACCAATCAAACCGTGACCTCTTGGTGCAGGGGCATCGCTCAACCAACCGCGCCACACGGGCCAGGCCGGAGCAGGTGCAGTGCAAGGGCAGCTGGTGGGGAGTCCTGGTGCAGAGCCCCTGCTCTGCCGGCTGCCCCGACATCCCTGTGCAGCAATTTCAGTTTCTATTTTAAACAGTTTGGGTTGGTTGCTTTCCTGACTTCCTGCTGGGTGTTTATAGTGAGAAAAATAATTGGTAATATTTGCACAGATGTGCTGGCATTGCAACTCATCAAGGGCACCTTTACCTGGGGGACCCTCCCCCCCCCTGCTTCTCTGCCAGCGGAGGAGCCAGCCTCCAGGGGGGTAGCTGCAAGCCCTGGTGCCTCCCAGGAGCCCCAGGCGGTGAGGCACAGGCAGAGCTGGGAGGCAGGAGGCCTCCAGTGCCCCAGGCGTGCCCAGAGGTAGGCCTCAGCGTGACAGGGGAGGGGGCCCTGCCGTGTTGCAGGGACTGAACAGGAGGGGTCCTCCTAGGGGCTGCAGGAGAGAAGCCCCTTGAAGCTTGTTTCTGGTTCCATTTTCTCCCGCAGAGACTGAATTTGCAGCTGGGGGTGAGGGACGAGGGGGTGGTGAAAAGGAGGAGGTAGCAGGACTAAGTTGAACATAGGCGATCTCTGGCTTCTCCCTTTTCTGGAGGCCTGGAGCCCTGTTCTGAAGGGGTGGGAAGGAGATGGGCATTGTCCTGGCTGTGAGGCAGCCTGCCCACCCGAGCAGGGCCTGGACTGGAATGTGCACTGCCCACTGTCCACTCCGGGACCCAGCCAGGCTGGTGACGTGATGACCGCAAAGCGGGCAGGAACGGGAAGACTCCTCAGTCACCACGTCTGCTTCACCCCTTGAAAGTGCACGCACTGAATGTGTGCACACGGTATGCGTGCATGTGTCCCCATGTGTATGTGTGTGCATGGCGGCATGCCTGTGCCTGCAGGTATGCGCGTGCATGTGCATAGGTGCAGGCATGTGCACATGTGCGCACATCTATGCTAATATATGTGTACATGTGTGTATGTGTCTTGGTTTGGGTTCCCACAGAGGCTGACCCAGAGACAAAGATTCAATTGCAGGCAGTTTACTGGGAGATGACCCCAGGCAGCACAACAGGGGAGTGAGGAAGAAGATAGGAGAGGAAGGCAGGTCTCAATGCTCTCAACCAAATTGCTGCTGTGAGCAACTGAAACTCAATCCAGAGGGTGCGGCCTGGGGTCCAGTGTACACCATGACCATCCCTCCCCCACAGAGGGCAGGAGTTGGGCCGCTGGGGGCAGAAGCAGCAGATAGGTGTGAAGGAGGATGGGACACAGGCGAACGTGGAGGCAGGCACCAGGTGTTACAGAAATGTTTATTACAAGGATAAATATACACAATGTCAGACATTAAAACTGCTGATCCTGGGCCTGTGGGACTTTAAGGGATGCAGTGGGCTTGGTGACACCTAGGGTGAGTGTGGACAGTGGGACAAGCTGGGTCAGCGGTGGATCCACAGTCCCAGGCTCTGGATGGGGCCCGGGAATGACCAGGGCCCCAGATCATGCACAAGGAGGCTGATAGCTTGAGCCCTGACAGGCCTGCCTTCCAGTGTGCTGCCTTCCTGCCGCCTGTATGTCTCTCAAATTCTGGACGTTCCCCAGTTGCTGGGGTGCGAGAGCAACGCTGAGCAGGGGCATCAGCAAAGAAGCCCAAGGCTGGTCAGGGGCCCACTGCTGACCTCCAGCGTTCGGAAGCGGGAAAACATCATTGGTCTTTGAGAGACAGGCCCAACCTTCTTCTCTGAGTTGGTGGAGCCCTCAGAAATGATTGCAATTTGGTTCCAGCCCACGTGGTCCTGGCACAATTCAAACAGCTTGGAACGCCCCTTGGGAGGCTCCTGTCACATCCCTGCCCATGAACACTAAGGGTGATGGGAAAGCAAACCCCTTAGATAGATTCTCCTCATCCTTCTAGAGGGGCACCTCCTCCAGGAAGCCTTCCTGATCCCTGCTGGCTGCTCAGTCATGCCAGCCCTGTGTCACTCCTTCATCGAACTCACTGTACTCAGTGGGGCTTCTCCTCGCTGGTTTCCCATAGGATGTAAGGCCCTGAGCTCAGTGGCTGGTGGGCTGCTGATAGCGCTCTCTCCATTTACCTGGGATGGTGCCCTCTTGGGGTCCCCCAGGAGGAGCCCAGAAAAGGATGATGGGAGCAGGGACCAGGGGCAGAGTGTGGAGCCCCAGGTGGTCCGGCAATATTTCAGGACCCCTGTCATCACATCTGCTTTTCTTCCTGCACAGAGGAGCTCCAAGAAGCTGGTCTTGGTGCAGAGTTTACATGCCTGGGACCCCCCATCTGGAATCTATGGTGTCTCACAAGCCCTCAGGAGAGATAAGCACCACCCAGAGCCAGAAAGAGCAAGGGGCCCCGTGTCTCCGTGTATCTCCCCCCTGGCTGGCTGGGATTGGGCATCAGGAGGCCAGATGGTGGAACTGGGGAAGCCAGGCTGTCCCAGGGGTAGAGACTCCTATGAGCTGAAAGGACTGGGTCAGGTCTCCTGTCCGCCAGGCATCCCTTCTCTCCCTGCCACCTCCTGCTCTTTCTCTGTGGAGAGGTTGGCAGAGTTGGGTAGTGGGCTGCCTGAGGGCAGAGACCCTCTGGGGAGTGGGCAGATGGTCTGAGCTCCGAGCTGGCATCAAGCCAGAGGTGGGGCCTGCCTGGTTGGTGTGATGGGCAGCGCTACCCTCTCCTGCTTTCCAACACTGATTGAGCTGGAGAGTGGTGCCCCCGGCCCTGCTCTGGGGCCAGGAGCACTGGGCATGAGGAAGTGAAGGTTGAGCCCTGCAGGCTGCGGCCCGGGAGGCGTCCCAACACCAGCCACCTCACGACTTGTCTCCAGGGGCAGGGCTTTCCAGAGAGTCTGCAACCTCAAGGCCCGCTGCCCCCTCAGTTGGAGCAGGGGAGTCAGGGTGCTGGACCCTACCGGCCACTAGCCATGGCCATTGTGGGACATGTAAGCTGCCAGAGCCACCACCACAGCCACATAGAGACCGGCCCCCACGGCAATGGAGAGAGTGGCCAGGAAGAGGGCCCTGCGGGAGGTGGTGCTGGCCAGGCGGAAGTCCCCCTTGGAGATGGCCTTGCTGGTCTAGGGAGAGAGATGTGCTGATGAAAGAGGGCATCCCATGCCCAGCCCAACGGCCCCCGCCTACCAGGCCCCTGGCCCCCTCCTGCATAGGCTTCTGCCAAGCCCTGCAGTGGAGGAAGGTGGCCAGAGTCCAAGGCCTGGGCCCACGTGCTCTTACCCCCTGGGAGAAGTAGAAGGCGGCGATGCCCAGTGGCCAGAAGCAGCAGAGCATGGAGAAGATGGTGAGCCCCAGGTGGTCCCTGGGGGGCAGCGTGAGGAAGTTGTCTTCACTCTCACTCTCTGTCGAGGTTGTGTCACTCTGCAAAACACGAGTCGAGTTCGTGACCAGGCCCAGGGTCGCCCAGGGACAATGACGTGGTTCTCCTTTGCTTCGATGGAAGTGTCTAGGTTGGGCTCGGTGCTCTCTACCGAAAGCCCTTAACAATGACCCATGGATTCCATCTTTAGGGATTTAGCACAAGGAAAGAATGTAAGTATGTATGTACAGGCATGTTTGGCACCGGGCAGTGATTGTGAAAGATTGGAAACAATTGTCCCGTACAATGCCCAACGATCAGGAGGTTGACTTAATAAGTGATGGAATACTTACCATGGAATACCACGTCACCCTTTTAAAATCACCTGGTAAAAAGGTTACATTATGTGGAGCAACACTAAATATGTTGCTTAGAGAGAAAAATCAAGTTACAAAACTAGGCACTGCAAGATCTCTCTGGGGGACTAGGATGGGATAAAAACATGAATAAAAAATGACTAGAGGATCACCCACTACAATAATGTTATCTTTCCGTGGTTTTGGGCATTAACTGTATATTACTTATATGATTAAGAAAACAGGAACAATAAATGCTATTTAAAAATTAAACAGTCAACCCAAGCTAGTGTTTCTCAAATTGTGGGTAGCAGTTGTGTCAAAGTGCCCCTGGGAGGTGCGACCCTAAGCCAGGTCTAATTAATCTCAATGCTTGGCTGTGGGCCTGGGAATCTGTGTTTTAAATACATGTACCCACCTCCTCCTCCTCTTGGTCGTCCTCCCGTCCCTGCAGCTCCTCTTGAACCCCATAGGACACAGTCTGGATGGCGACATCCTCTTCTGCTTGGCCGGGTTCTGTGGACCACTCTGTGGGCCCAGCCTGGGGCTCCCTGCTCTCCGTGAAGCTGGTCTCACAGCTGCCTGCCCTGGGCTCTTTGACCTTGTCCCTCCCCAGGAGGCAGGCAGGCCTGTACCAGGCCTCCACGGCCAGCTGCAGGGACCCTGGGTCCAGGAGCTGGTGGGCGCGAGCAGGGTCAGCACCTCCTAGGAGGAAGGAGTAGAGCTTCTCCTGGCAGGACCAGCTGGGCGAGGCCTCGGGGTAGGGGTAGGGGCGGTGGAGGTGGGCGGGGCTCCGAGGCAGCAGCGGGTTCTGCAGTTCACTCAGACTCTCCATGGTTCTGGGGGCCGCTCCAGGAAAGGGAATCTGGGCCAGCTGGGCAGTCCTCAGAGAGCCTGCTGGGAGCACAAGACAGACAGACACTGAGGCCAGGGCGCCGGATGCAGGACTGGAAGGGTTAAGAGCTGGGGTTCTGCAGTCTGACTTGCCTCAGACCCTGCCTCTATCACTGGCCAGAGGTGGGACCTTGACTTGGCTACTCAACTTTTCAGAAACTTCTCCATTTCTTTGTCTGCAAGTTGGGGATAACAGCTGTATCTAGCTCATAGAATTGGTTTGTTCGTGTATCCACTCAACACACATTTATTGAGCACCAGCTCTATGCCAGATGCTGTACACACAGATGCTGGGATATGATGGTGAGAGAGGTGGGAAGAAGGAGGGGAAGAGGGATGCACACTTTTTCTTCCCGGAGCTCACAGTCTGATAGAGAAGATGGCTGCCCCAAGAAGAACCACAGGGGGTGTGAGAACAAAGGTGCAGGGAAGGCTTTTAAACAGATCTGAAGGAAGAGGACAAGTTGACAAGGCGAGGGGAGGGGGAACACATTTCAGGCAGAGGCCAGATAAAGATGGCAGGTCTGAGAGCCTGGGAGAAGGCAGGTGTGGTTCAGGGTATAGAGGGAGGTATGAGCTGGGTGTGGGGCATGCAGTCCTGTTGGGGTCTAAGATGGCTTCACGGGTCTTGGCAGGTGTGATAGGATGAGGTTTGGATCCCGAAGCCTTTCAATGTTTATGTGTGGAGAGTGGCTTGGAGAGGGCTGGACTAGCTAGTACATCATCTAGGAGGCCTTGCCATGGCTTCTGGTCAACTGAAGACAACTGCGACTCAATGGGGAGATAAAGAAAAAAGGACAGGCCCTGGCCGATGTGGCTGAGTTGGTTGAAGTGTTGTCCTGTACACCAACCAAAAGGCGGCGGATTCGATTCCCAGTCAGGGCACATACCCAGGTTGTGGGTTTGACGCCCCCATTCAGGGTGTGGGCAAGAGGCAATCAATCAATGCTTCTCTCTTACACTCTATCCTTCCCTTCCTTTCCAAAAATCAATAAAAATAATTTTAGAAAACTAAAAAAAAAAAAAGAAAGAAAAAGAATTCAAAGTCTGGCAAAGGGCCATTTCTACTTCTTCCCCAAGAGAAATAGAGTCTAGAAAGCTGGTTCTTGGGAAGCCTGGAGACAAAGCATGCCCCAGGAGCAATGCCCAGGGGAAGGGACAGAGGGAGGGAGGAGAGGGACCCAGTGTTGAGAGTGTGGCCACGGGGTCCTGGACTCCCTGGCTGGCCTGCTATGAGGGAGGAGGGGGAGCGGTGGCCTGCCGGGAGGCAGAGCAGCAGGAAGAGGCTGCCATGCCCCAGGCTCTGAGCCCTGGGAGGTGCGGCCTCTCTAACAGAGACTCCTGGAGGGCACAAAGACCAGCATGTGGCCCAAGTGTCCGCCTCTTCATCCAGGAAGGGGACAGATGGTGTGGAGACATTGGGCTGCCACGCGCCTGGGGGCTTTGTTGGTGCATTAACCAGCTGCAGGTAACCCCTGAGCTGAGGGCAGCTGTGGCAGGAGCTTCTCCACACACAGAGATGGGCACACAGGCTTGGGAGGGGGTGGGCTTAGGTCACTGCTCTCCAGTGCTCAGGAATGCAGGGGCCTGGCTGCTTCCTCCTCCTTTCTCTCCAGAGGTCAACAATGCAGGGAGCCCCTCGGACTACAGGATGTGGAGGGCTCCTTCCTGCAGGTGGGGAGTTGGGAGTGCCCACAACAGAGGTCTTGCAGGGCTAGGCTTGTGTCTGGGCTCCTCTGGGCAAATTCCAAGCAGGACTGGTCTCTTTTGACCCCCATGGGCAACTTCTGAGCCCATCATAACTTCCCCTCCTCCAGGAGATGTGACCCACGGGTGCAGAGTTGAAGGTTATGTGACCATAAGGCTCATGGGTTTGGTAGTCAGGTACACCGGGGTTCCATTCCTGAACCACCCCATTAACATTTTGACTTGGCACCTCAGTTTTCCCATCTATAATAAGAAGGGTTGATTTAAATGGTCACTGATGATGATGGCACTAACATTCACGATCCCATAGCCTCAAGGAGCCCCACAGAAGTGAAACGCCTCCACTCAGTCACCTTGCAAGAGTCCAGGGTAGACGAGCAGGCTCAGAGCCCAGTGAGGTGCAGAGTCCTCTCCTTCCCTGCATGGCCCCTCAGAACAGGATGAGGGGGGCAAGGGAAAGGCAAGACAGCTACTGGCCAGGTGGACCCTCGGGCTTCCCAACTCTCCCTGGGCTGCCCTAGTCCCAGCCCCTCCTGCCCCTCATTTTTCCCTCCCTCTGGGATTGTAGGACATGGTTCTCAAAGGTCCCCCAGCCCCTCCACCAGCTGGTCTTAATTTACTCCCCTCTCTGTATAGCCTTGAAGGTCCTTGTTGCCATTCATGAAGGCAGAGGTATGGAGGGCCTTTCAGCAGGGGTGAGGCAGGGAGGACCAGTCCCAGGGCCCTCAGAGCAGATGAGTGCATCTAACTCACCCTGCCCTCTGCCCTGCTTCAGCAGGGGGAGCCACCTGTCCAACCCCCCAGAAGGAAAAGAAGGATGCGTGTGGCCAGGAATGAGGCCCTGGGGCTCTGGAGACGTGAGGGCGTTTGCAGGGCACTTGCCCAGGGCAGGCAGGGCAGCTGGGTTCCAGTTCCCCCTCCTGCTTTTGCCAACCACCTCTTTTGGTCAAAGTACATCCGGCTAAGCTTCTGGAACCCAAGCCACACAGCCTTTCCTGGACTGTGCCGTTAGGCAAGCTTCTCAGCACTTCATTGTACAAAGATGCACGAACCTGGGTTTTCACAATAAGAACAAACGGAAAGCCACCTGAGTGTCCGACAATCAGGGACGAGTTAGATAAATGATGGTCCAAGACGAGGTGGTGCAAGACCTTCCAACAGGTCTACAAAGAGGAATGACAGGAGAAAATGCTCACTGCAGATTCAGTGAGAAGGCAGAAAAGAACGGTATGTGCACATAATTGCAACTCCAGCCAAGTGTCAACAGCGATTACCTCCAGGGGTGAGAGCGAGGGTGTTTCTTCCATTTTCTTTTTTACACCATGGTTTTTCGGTTCTCCACATTTATTTTTTACAACGAGCATGTACTACTGTTAAACCAGAACAAATTAAGTGCATAGATTTCTTCTGAACTAAATTATCTAAAATCGGTTTAAAACTTCCCTAGGCTAGAGGGTTTCTTCTGGGTTTAGAGGCTGAGCACAGCATCAAAGCCTACCCTGACACACACAGATAGGCACGCACGTACACACACACACACACACACACACACCCCTCCGCTTCCATAAAGCATCCAAGCTAGGGGCTGTAGCACCTGCTCATAGTGGCAGTCAAGGGCCACAGTTCTCTACCAGGTCATGTTCTCCTCATAAACTGCTAGGGCCACACAAGGGTTCACTGAACTGGTCCCAGGGGCCCAGCACTGAGCTCTGGCCAGATGGAGGAGGTGGCAGGTCCCCAGGGCAGCCTTCTCTGCCCTTGACCTGGCCTGACCTCTTGGCCTGTTGCATGTGGCTGCTTCTCCCTGCTCTCTGGGGTAAGAGACCAGTTTCAAAGCAGACCAATTTTCATTTCCACCTCTGCTGCCTGGGCTCCCTTGGACTGTGTGTGCTGTATTGTGTGCCTGCCTATGTCCTGGTGAGCATGCCTGTGTGAGAATGTGTGTGTGTAAGTGCACACTTGTGCAGAGGACAGACGTGAAATGCCTGAAATTCTGAAGCTAAGCAGATTGCTCCAAATTGTGCATTTGGGCCTAGCTGTCTGGGGCCACAGGAGGAGAGGAAGAGAAGATGCCTCTGGTTTGTTTCATTCTCAGCTGAGAACTGAGCTGAGCTAAGGTTTTCCAGTCCCTGCTCTGGGGAGGGAGAGCACACTGCCACCTCTCAGACCAGGGACAGGAAGCCATCCACGAGTCCACTAGAATCCAATTACAGCGTCCCACTGGAGTCTGATTGCACCTGAGTCCAGTCATAATATAGTGTAACATCAGGTTGCTGATCTATAAAATGTATGGATGGGGTAGAAAGTGTTGATTTTTTAACAGCGCGGCTCGATATGACCCGGGGATTCTATTGGGAGAAGAAGAATAATAACTTAACACGTACTGAGCTTTTTGTATGTGCCAGACACTCATTTTGACTCAATAATTCTTGGGGATTCTATTGGGAGAAGAAGAATAACTTAACATGCACTGAGCTTTTTGCATGTGCCAGACACTCATTTTGACTCAATAATTCTAGTGGGAGAATAAAAATAGAATGGGCACTTCCTCTTCTAGCTGTGGCAGACAAACTCAGGTCACACAATACCTGCCAATAATAGCTAGAAAAGCTAGGGGAAACATGAGGGCATCGAAGAATTGCCCAGGGGAGCAAGAATTTGAGGGGTCAGGGTTGCAGGAGCCCAGAGGAAAAAGAAACAGACAGGTGAGCCTGGCCCTTCACACCACTTTCCCCTTCTTCTAGCACCATCAGAGGCCAGGGAGAAAAACCTGAAGGAGGAGGGGACCCAGAAAACAGTGGCGGTTTTCAGCTTCTTTAGGCTACCCCTCTTTCTGGAAGGAGCAAGCCAGAAAGCAGGCTTTGAATCCACTCCGTCCCTCGGAGAAAGGTGTTCTGCACGCAGCCTGGCTGGCTTCCAGAAGCCAGCGTTGTCTCAGGGCAGTGGTTCTCACTTTAGTGTGTACCAACACCACCTGAGGACTCCTTAAACCCAGACTGCGGGTTCCCACCTCACCGTGTATGCTTCCAGATGGGCCTGGGCCTGCACATCTGTAACAAGTTCCCAGTGCGACTGGTGCTGCGGGTCCAGGGACCACGCTTCAAGAACCACTGCTCTGATAACCTACTGAAAAAAAATAGCGAAGACATGTATAACCTGTAAGCTAATCGATGGGGAACATGAAATAATAAAAACACTTGGCTATCCAAAATGAGACAAGATAGAAAAAGGGATATAGAACAGGTGAGACAAAATAGAAAACAAATAGTAAGGTGTCAAACTTACACCTGATTATA